ACCTATTATCTAGCCATCTATTGACCTATCTATCTATCTATCTATCTATCTATCTATCTATCTATCTATCTATTTACCTACCCACCTACCTATTATCTATCTATCTACCCACCTACCTACCTACCTACCTATCTCCCTTCTGATTCACACCAATTGCCGGAGAAGAGAGCAGTCCTTCTCACCAAACGTTGCCCGGGATGAAACCGGTGGCCCCGGTAGTCCCTGGCCCCTCCAGCCCATGCTGCTTTTCCTAGGTCCGAACTCAGGGTCCCATCCTCACAGCCAGCGGCAAGAATCCGGTGATGGAGCTCAACGAGAAGCGGCGAGGCCTGAAATACGAGCTCATCTCCGAGACAGGAGGAAGCCATGACAAGCGGTTTGTGATGGAGGTGAGGAGGACCCTACCCCCCGCCCCCCTCGGGCCTGGGACTTCCTCTGGGGGTGACGCCCAGCCAAGGGTGCCAATGGCCCATCTCGCTTCCAGGTAGAAGTCGACGGGCAGAGGTTCCGAGGGGCTGGCCCCAACAAGAAAGTAGCCAAGGCCAGTGCTGCCTTGGCGGCTCTCGAGAAGCTCTTTTCAGGCCCCAACGCGGCTGCCAATAAGAAGAAAAAGATCCTCCCACAGGTGAGAGGCCAGGGGCTGCACCTCGGGCGGCCCAGGTGGGTCCGAGTCCTTGTGCAAGCTTCCAAAGTCAGCAGAAACCCAGAAGAATTGGGTGGGACGGGGGGGGGGGGGGGGAGAATTTTGGGGTGGAGAAGAAGGGAGGGGAAGTGGAGTGGTGCGGTGGCCTAGAGATGGAGCTCTTGCCTCACATTCTGGAAGGGTGTGAGTTCGATCCTAGGTAGAGGCAGATATTTCTCTGGACATATTGAGACTATATCTGCTGAATATAACTCCGCATCGGTGGCAGGAAGGGCATCTGGCCAGTAAACACCCAGCTCCAGTTGCCCAGAGTCCACCTGGCCAAGGGGTTATGGGATCATTTAAAAGGAGAAAATGAATAAGGGATAGTAGATAAGTAGATCCACCTGGAGGGAATTGAGGAAGGGGCTTGAGCAGAGTCGGAGAAGACATGACAGCCGCTTGGGGTTTGTAACCGTTTGTAAGCCATGATATCAGGCAGATATCATACAGAAGGATCTTGGCCACCAAATAGGACCAAGCTGCTCTTGAAGAACCTCATTCTTCTGACCTGCAGCCCGATCCGTCCCTCCTTCAATCCGTCCTGACCCCCCCTCCCTCCCCAGGACCAAAACCCCCCTTTGAAGATTACAAAAATGACAGGAGAAGAGAGTCAACGACAGCTGTGACTTTTTTTCCTTTGGTTGGACTTCATCCTTCTCCGCCTCTCTCCGCAGACCAAAGGAGGGATCGTAAACACAGCCATGTCTGCAGCGGCGCGAGGGAGAGGACGAGGGTCTCCCATGCGGGGGGCGTTTGTCGGGGCAGCGGCAGCAGCCACCAGTTACCTGGCACCAGGTAGAAGCAGACTGGGTTGTCCTGTGGTTGTGAAGTGGGGGACAACTAAGACCTGCCATGAGGCTGGCCTTCTAAGGGATGAGAAGGCCTTCACAAATTGTCCATATCTTCTGCTTAGATCTTTTAGAGGGACTAAAATCCCATTTTTAAAATTAATTAATTTAATTTAATCCGGGTCCTGGCATTTGAGCACAAGCACGCAAGCGCGTGCACAATTTTTGGCACAGGGGGGCCCAAAAGGTTAGCCACCTCTGCATTAGGGGATGCTTAAAAGTTGTGACATGCCTTGGGGGATTGTAGATATATTTTAGTTACTTTAATATAAAGGGTGCTTGGATAAGTAACCAGATAAATATCATCTCTTTTTAACCGTTTGCTCGCTTCGTTCGAGTGTATGAGATTAAAATAGGTGCAAATTAAACAGATCTTGCCCAGAAACTGGCAACGTTTATTGTGGTCTGTCACACTGCCGTTGAAATCTTCACATATACGCAGGTCAGGGCCCAAAGGGCAGGTGTGTATGTGGGTTGCTCTCTGCATGTCACCGCAATCACAGAGAGCAAATTCTGCAAGAGACCCTTGAATTCTGGGAGTTGAAGTTCCCAAATCTTAAAAGTTGACAAGTTTGGAGAGTCCCACGTGATGCTTCATCTGACGGAGACTCTGCTACTGGTAGTCCTTGACCTATGATGGCTGTCAGGATTCCGGCAGTTACCCCCCCATTTAAATCATTTCGAGCCAAACTTCCAAAACTTCAAAAGGATTTATTGGGACTTAACATGTCCGGCACTGCCTGGGTGTAGCCAACTCTGAGACACATCATTCCTTGTCACCCTTGACCCTGGTTTTCCCTCCACCCCCTGGGTGTATCCTGATTCATATTCTCCAATGGGACCCATCCATAGCCCAGAGTCACCAATCGGGCTCTCCAGTTAGAATTTTGCACGGCGGAAACTTCAGTCACCTAGTGACTATCTTTGAAAACATTTATGGAATGCACTTTCGATTTCCAAGTTGCCGCACTGCTCTTTCAAAACTCTTTTTTCCCCCTCCCTTTCTGTTGGCAACTCTAAAAAGACCACAGAAATATTTTATGAGTTGACGATGACAATTGGGACTAGGATTTCAGTCACTAAACAGTGCAGTCATTCAATGAATCCTCACGTGACTGGACCTGATCTTTTTTTTTCACCATTTTTACAGTGCTCATCCAATGCATCACACATTCCTTAAGTGAATCTGGTTACTCCCGTTGACGTTTTGCTGGTTGGAAGTTTATTTTTTATTTTTTTTATTTGTCAATTGCTTACAAGGTAATAGGTAGAAGTAGAAAACATAGTTATGAATACATGGATACAGATAAGAAAAAGAAAAAAGAAAATATAAAAGAAACAATAGGACAGGGACGGTAGGCACGTTGGTGCAGACTGAGAGGCCGAGATGATCGCAGGATGCCTGCTTAGCGTCCTAAAATATGACTGGCGGGCATCTCTGCCACGCCCGTTTTGTCCTCCCTGGCCACCCGGGAGGACCTGTCACTGTCTTTGTCTGCTTCCTTTGCAGGGTACGCAGCACCGTACGGATACAACGCGGCAGCTGCCGCTGCACCGGCTTACGGTACGTCCTTCCCTTTTCCTTGCCTACGTGCAGCCATATGTATCTACCCATTCTCTGGCCAGCTTTTATTATTATTTTGGGGTGGGGGCGTGGAGGCAAGGTGGGGTCCCCTCTGGACAGACATCAGCCAAGCTACTCTTCTTGCTGTGGCTTGTTCCTCTCCCGGTTTGTTTCTGCCTGACTGCGAAAGAGCTGCTTGCCCTAACTGCCTGCTCCCTCGTTCCCCCGTTGCCAGAACCTATAGAGCCGTCTCCCGCTTCCTGCCTTCTGAACGGCCATCTTGTGCTCCATTCAAAGCTTCTCAAAGGGCCAAATCTTCCTCCTATCTGAGAGTCGTCCTTGGTGTCCTGACCCAGCGCCCCCAAACACGACAAAACCCCTCTGTAGTTGAAGCAAAGATTCCTTTAATTAATTTGCTGGCACGGCCCCGGCAAAACGTTGGTCTCTCAATGCCGGCTAACAAGTCCGGCCAGGCGAAAGATGAATAGTTGTCTGCCTCATCTATTCATTTCCGCCCCCTGACTTTTATCCCCAGAGCTAGGGTGGGGCCTCGGTAGCAACGGCGGTTCTTCCGTCCCAAGGACCGGCCCATAGATTTCCACTGCTCTCCTCTCCTCTGCCTTCTGTGCATCCATACATCAGGCACTGGACCCAGCAGTTCCTCCTCTTCCTCATCAGCCACCTCCAGACCTGGGGGCAGTTGACTCTCCATCTGAGGGCTGACAGGTCCCAAGGGGGGGTCCCAAGAAACTGTAGTCCATCTGGGACAACAACAACATCCCCCCAGGGCTGGGCCTTCCATTGCATCTGCCATCATTCCCCAATCTGTCTGGGGGCGGATGGGAACTGAACTCTCCAGCATCCTGCCACCAGATTGGAGGAAGGGGCTGCAACCACACAGCGTTTCCCACATCCCCAAGGAAAGGAAAGGAGAGAAGGCCTGTTGGTTGGCGCTCGGCCTAATCCTGCGGGGCTCAATACCCCAGATTTTCAGCTACGAGGCCCTAACTAGCTTTGCTCTTGTTTCAAGAGTCAGCAAACCCATGTTTGGATGAGTAAGAAGCCAATTCCTCTACCTCAGAATTCTCTTTAAGAATTCCTCTGCTCCTCGACTTACGACCGAGAGCCAAGCCCAAAATTTCTGCCGCTAAGCGAACGCTTTCTGCTAAGCGAATCCTGCCCCCTTTTACGACCTTGGCTTGCCGCCGTTGTTAAGCGAACGGCTGCAGTTGCTGAGTCAGCGGGAGGGTTTCTAGGCAGATCTGGCTTCCCTGTTGATTTGGCTCCTCAGGAGGTCGTAAAAGGGGATCTCCTGACGCACAGACACACACCCCTAGGACGCTGCAAACATCATAACTAGGAGTCATTGGCCAAGTGTCTGAATTTTGAGCAAGTGGCCATGGGGGGGGGGGACGGGCTGCTGCAATGGTCGTAAGGGTGGAAAATGGTTGTAAGCATGAAAAACGGTCTTAAGCCCCTTATTTCAGTGACGTAACTGAACAGTCACTAAACGAACGGTTGTAAGTCGAGGACTGCCTGTCCTGACTCCCATCATTCAATCCACCCGTTGCAATTGATCGGGAGGCCTCCTCCCCCACATCGTTTTCCCCTCCCCAAGCCAGGGCAGGGGTCTTACTCCCAAGAGGGGCCGCTAAGGCCCACACTCTCCACTCCACTCTCCACAGATCCTCCCCGCAGTGCTTGATTTTAAAAAAATATCCTGATTTCGACTAATTGGGGCGTTGGGGGTAAACAAAGACACCATAAAAAATGACAAAAAAGAATTGGTTCTTTGATGACTTTGAATGTAGTTTCATGCAGCGACGAGGGGGAAATAAATGCCTTTGGAGTCAGCAATGGCCGCTCTGCCCTGCGTTGGCCGCCTTGGTTGGGCCCATGGGAGGCTGGGAGCTGCCCGCTGTGCCTCTGCATGATTTCCTTTCCCGCCGTTCTGAGCCAGCTCTCCAAACAGGACAAACCCTCTGAAGTTAACTCAACGATTCCTTTAATTAGGAGCGCCGGCAGCCTCGGCAAAAGGTTACTCTCTCAATGCCAGCTAACAAGTCCGGCCAGCCGGAAGATGAATCATTGTCTGCCACATCTATTCATCTCCACCTTCTGCCTTTTATCCCCAGAGCTGAGGTGGGGGCTTTGCTAGCAGTAGTGGCTCTTCCGTCCCAAGGGCCGGCCCATAGATTTCCACTGCTCTCCTCTCCTCTGCCTTCGTGCATTTGCGCGTCAGGCACTGGGCCCAGCTGTTCCTCCTCTTCCTCATCAGGAAGGGGGCTGTTGACTCTCCATTTGAGGCCTGACGGGTAGCCCAGGCTCCCCCTCTGTCTCTCTCTCCCCCCAGTTCCATTCCCTCTTCCCCCTCAAAGCTCCCAGGTTGCCCCGAGGCTGACCCTGACTGGATCTGGCTCTCATCTTGCCAACGTCCCTCAGGTAGAAATAAAACACTCTGAACACTGTCTGAAATAGTGTTCAGACAGGAAGGATCGGCTTTTAGGAGGGCAGGCAGCTGAGTTAAGGTGGACTCAGCCTTCCGTCCTTCCAAGGTCAGTAAAATGAGGACCCAGATCGTTGGGGGGCAAGAGGCTGACTCTGTAAACCGCTTAGAGACAGCTGCAAAAGCTCTGTGAAATGATATATAAGTCTTAAGCGCTATGGCTATTGCTAAAATATATATTGAGGCAATGGAGATTTAGACTTGGGAGAAAGTTTTTACTCCATGGATTTTGCTGGCTGGTGGAGAATAATTCCCCTAACTGACCAGTTACTCTTCCTTGGGAAGAAGCTGGAGGTGTCTGGGAAAGGAATGGGATTGTACAGTCTGCTCTCCTCATTTTCTCTCTCACCCACCTCCCAAATTGTTGCTGTAGCTCTGAGTTGTCTCAAGTCACTCCCTATCTATAAGTGAATTTCGTAGAGTATGTATACTGTGTATACAATGACAATAAAGAATTCAATTAATCTAGAGTAGAGCCTCAGCACAAGGCCGGTCAAATGTTGGCTGGCCCTGGCATTTTTCTCCCCAGTTCATAAATTACAATTAACCAGTGGAACAGCTTGCCACAAGGAGTTGTGGATGCTCCACAGTGGAGATTTTTAAGAAGAGATGGGACGATACCCTCAAGCCCCTATCCGGATCTCCTCTCTCTTCGGCTGCCTCTGCGGGGCAACCGTATCCTCCAGATGGGGCTGGATCGGAGGCACTTCGCCAGCGAGCGCAGCAGGAACCGCGCGGATCGCGAATTCCTGCCGCCGCCAAAGCCTGCAAACCGGAAATCCCTTCCAGCCCTGCTATTATGTTATTCCTCAGCTCCCTTTGAAGCTCATGAAAGCAGCTGCTTTTTAAAAGATAAGATCCATTCCGTGTCCCCGTTGCAAAAGACGCCACTGGTTTAGAACTTCCCCTATATTTCCTCCAGCAACGCATTCAAGTCTTGTGGTATTCGTAGCTCGTGCAAAATCAGAAAATAAACCGCCTCAAAACAGCCAAAAGTCCAACTGTAGGGGGAAGAGGTGCTGGGTGCTGGTATGCAACTGTTTTCCTCTCCTGCTCCCCCCCCCCCCCGCTAACTCAAGCGGTCCATGGCTGACTCCAACAGGCTTATGCAAGAGAAAAGCTGCCTTTCCTTCTCTGCATAAACATTTCTCACGGGTCCCTTCGTTGGTTTTGTTTCTGTCCTTTTGGAAATGTCTGGTTGGTTGGTTGTGGTGCTGAGTTTTTGGGGGGCCGCGGAGCTGCTCCTGGTTTTGCCAAAAAAAAAAAAACAAACCCCACCACTCCTTCCCCTTTTCTCTCTTCTCTGCCTGCGTGAAGCTGTTTGCATGTTGGAAAAAATATATACATATATATTTCACTCTTAACCATGTCGCTCCTCTTGGAAAACACCTGCTGTTGCTGCTTTCTGATTTCTCAAAAAAAAAAACAAAAAAAAAACCGGACATGTTAGGGGGGGCGGAAACGATTCTGAGAGAATGTCCGACAGGGAAGCCGCCTTGTTTTGAACCCGAGCACCTCCCAAAGATTCTTGCGAGGCCACAAGAATTTTTTTTTTTTTAAAAAAAGAAGCAGGCAAAGAAAGAACTTCGAACCACCTTGTCCTTCCTCTCCTCCCATCCATTTGATCGTCCAGGAAACCCATCGGCCATTTCCCGGTTGGAAGTCAGGCTGTGCCCTCTGGGTTTGCTTGTCTTTTGCAGCACAGGATCAGAGTTGATGGGACGTGCCAAGCTCTTGAAGCTGGTAGCTCTGTAGGACCCCGATGATCCCTTTTCCGGAGATTGGGAAGGAATGGATCTCTTTGGTTTTGGGAATGGTGGTGGAGGGAACTAACTTCAACTCATGGACATATCAGTCTTACGATGTTGGGACGGATAAGGAGACCAAACCCATTTGCTTTCTTCTTCTTCATCTTCTTCTAACTTACCTTTCTCGGATAAATTAGATTTACCCAAGTGCTTTCCGGTTTCTTCCTTCTGTAGGTCTGCCCAAGAGAATGCTCCTGTTGCCAGTTATGAAATTCCCAACTTTTCCAATGCCCCATTATTCGTTCTTTTAGCCTTCGGCTGAGATCAACCCTCTCTTGACTGGCTTCCATAAACCCAAGGACAGGATGTTAGAAGGAACATGAGAAAGAGACACTCAGCTAGCCTACCTATCTACCTTTCAATCCTGGTTTTCTTGGAAAAACACGACAGACTTGAGCAAAAACCATTTGTAAAGATCCATCTTTTTCCACTTTTATGTTTTTGTTTTTAATTTTTATTTTCACAAAACGCAAACTTAGTTCTCTCTTAAAAACTTGAAGAAGAAGAAAAAAAATACACGAAACTATGGTCTGTGAAAATGGTTACCTCATTTTTTTTTTCTCCCCCCTCCCCCCTTCACCTCCAAAATAACTTATATATCAACCTTCTGTGATAGGGAAGAAACTTAGATGCTTTGTTTTTAATTGAAACGGAATCCGAATTATGTAAAACCTTTAAAACTTGTGAAGGATGTATAGACTATAAAAAAAAAAAAAGCTGATCACAAAATAAAACCAGTTTTTGTTGTAATGGAGAGTTTTTTTTTTTTTTCCTGTTTCCTAATACAAGCCCTGGGCCCAAATCTTAGAATTTTAGGATTATGTGATGCAATGTTTTTGTTTCGGGATTCTTTTTGTGATGTTTCCTTTTTTTTTAAACAAACTGACATGCCAATAAACTACTATTTAAGAAAAGAAAGGAAGCTAAAGGATTAGTTTTATAATCAAGGAAGTTTCTCTTTAAGCAGAGCACAAGGCCTTTGTGGGGGTCTTTCCTAAGGACACTGCCTCCAAATCAAAAATATTTTCCATGGCTTTTTCAGCAAATATCTGGGATAAGTATAGGACTACCTACTTGTGTTGTACACCTGGCCGTGCGTACCTGTGGCTTTCTCCTAAGCCCTTATGAATCGGGGTTTTTTTAAATGTTGGAATCTCCCCAGCAGCAAGTTTTCTTTCTCTGTTCTGATTTCTTTTAATTTGGAACCCAAAAAAGGGCCTTGGAATTTGCCGAGGGTTTCTGTTCATTAGTTCCCAACATTTTACAAAAGCTGTTTTGCGGCTAAAGCCAGCCAAGAATATTTGGTGAAGCCCTTTGCGGAGATCAAAGGCACCTCCAGACCATTCGCTTTTGCATCATGTAATGCAGGGATCCCAATTGCCTGCCCCCCGCTCCACAAAAAAAAAAAAAAAAAAAATCAGACCTTTTCGTTCCAAAGCTGTTAAAAAGAAACCCCCCCTCGAGTAAATCAAAAATACGGTTCTTGTGGCCTCTTTTTAATAGCCCGTCGATGCGTTTCTCCCCATCCGCCAGGGCTTAAAAATGGAAAAAATACGATGGTTCCTCTTCTCGGCAGCCTCGCTCAATTCTAAGAATCTGAAGCAGCAACAGCCCCCATGAAAACTCGCTATTTTTAATTGTCTGGTCTCGTCCCAGCACTGCTGTGAATAGTTCAGTGTTTCAGCCATAGGCCGGTTATCATGCCTTCTCCTTGAATTTCCGTTGCCCCCAAAAACGCTCCTCCTTCATGCGGCAGGGCCAACACCACCACCCCCCGAAACATTTTTACCTGCTTCCCTGGGCTGTACCAAGGGGGTCCCCTGCTGTCCTTGGGGAGGGGCCCCCAACCCCCCCCCCCGAAATTAGGGTCTGTGAACGAGGAAAACGATGGTTGGTCATTAAGGCGTCACCTCTCCACTTGAACGCAAGTGACCAGTGGTTCTTTTCAAAAGAGGCTCAGCTGTGGTTCTCCCCTTTCAAAGTGTTTCGACCCTCCGAAGGATGCCAGGGACCGGTGTGTTTTGGGGGGAGGGAGGGGGTGTCCTTCAAACTCGACAGCCTTTTTAAAGACTGGTGGACTTCAACTCCCAAGAATTCCTCCTAGGTTAGCTGAGGAATTCTGCGAGTTGACGTCCATCAGGCTTCAACTTGCCAAGTTTGAAGACCCTTGCGATGGACAGGGCGGGGTGAGGATGGGTGGGAAAACGGGGATTGGGGAGGGGATGGAAAGGAGAGGAAGGGTCCATCCTTGGTGCGAGTCGCGCTCCCTTGCCGACGGAGCTGAAAGAAAAGAACCACAGCTGGTTTTGGAAAGGAGAAAGGAAGACGCAGCCTTGGCTGCCATGATGGCTGTGCTTCTCGGAATGTGCGCCTCCGTTTATTGTCCCTGTCCTTCTTGGTGGTGTGGTTCCATCTCGCTTGCTGTTCGGGGCGGTGATGCTTTAATCCAACCTGGGGATCCTTTGCGGGTCCAGCGCAGCAGCAAGCACCCCCCCCCCCCTCTGTTGTGGGGTCCTGCGCCTGTTCCTTCGAAGGGGAGCAGGGTGGGTAGAGACCCTAAATCCTCCCGGGGGTGTTGCCTTCTCCACGGGAGGAGAGTCATTGGCGAAACACGGGACTGCCTGCTGGCCTATGGATGAAAAAGGGCGCCATCTTGGAGCTTGGAAAAGCATGGCGATCAATCAAGAGGATCCCAGATCAATTCGTTCCCTGTAATTGGCGGTCGGATCGATTCCGGGGAGGGGTGGCCGTTTCTCTGGAGGCCACCAAATTCTTCCCGCCCACTTTTCAAATCCCTTCCCCAGGGCAAAAGTTCTGGAGAAGTTGCTTGCTGGAGTGGTCCTCTCATGGCAGCCGGTTGCTCTCGAGCGCTCTGCTCTTTCCAACGCAATGGCCATCATTCCCGATAATTTGATATGAAGTCATCTTTTCCCCCCCTCCCCCTCTCCATTTATTTATTTAGTTTGATTGATGGATGGATTTTTATTTGTCATGTTGGGAGTTACTAACCACGTCGTAACTTTTGCCCTGTTGCTGCATATTTTATATTTCTCTGCTTTAACGGGGGTCAGGCGGGGAGAGGGGACCCCAAACCAGTTCCTAAGTTACCTCAGTTGTTGCTTTTTGTGTGTGTGTGTTTGATATCCAATCTTTGTCTAGAAAAGATAAGAGGGGGTGAGGACTATTTGGAAGTGGCTAGAACTAGATTTTCCGTGCACCCTCTTGCAATGGAAACTCCACCCACAGCTGGAAAGAGCAGAGAAATTGAAGCAGTGCTGTCCCGTTTTTATATATATATATATATATCTATATATAAACTAAAATTAACCTTCCTTTCCCCCCCTCCCTTTCCCTCTCCCCCTCCCTCTGCTCTTTCCTGTGCTGTAGGTGGCTGTTTCATTGACAGTCCTTACTGCCAGCCACTTGACGTGACGCCTTTTATAATTCACTTGGGGCCTCAAGAATTCTTCTCTGACTTCTAGAGCAAAGAGGTAGCCCAGCTCCAAAGGTGCTTTTCCCACCCGTGAATTTTCAAAGCAAGAGCTAATGGAGACCTCGGAGGGGGGAGGGAAGGAGGGAGGGAGGGTCGGTATCGAATATTTTTAAAAATCCTCGGACTTCCTCCCAGCACCCCCAAAAGCAATAGGCCACCTTCACCCCCTCCCCTCGTCTACCCTGGCTCTTGAAAAACCACAGCAATAGTTGTACGACGGAGAGGCGTCTCCCGACGGCCATTTTTTTCTAACGCTTTGCACTAGGGATCAGGTCCGGGTTCGGCGGTAACCCTCCCGTATGCAGTTGAATTTGAGCTAGATGAAACGGGCCCCTTCGAACTCAGGAGGGCACGGCTGGATTGTTTCGGAGAGGCAGGTGGGATGTTTCGGGGAGACCGAAGTAACCTCAAAAATTCCTGCGGGTGGAAATGGCTTGGCGTCCCGCGACACAAATTGCTCGAAAGGTGGTCTTAGGAAGGCCAACTGCCCGAGAAAAGGTGAGAGGAAGATTTTTCCCAGAAAGAAAGGGATGGTCCCACAACTCGCACCGACTTTGCAAAGTCTGGTGACGGGCTCGGGGACCAGGAGAGTCGTAGCGAGAAGAGTAGAGAGAGCAAATCAAGAAGGCGAAGTCCTCGTGATGGGCTGCGTGAGAGAAGTTGTCCCTGGATTGTGCCTTCACTACCAAAAGAAGGGTAGACTTCTATCCATGATTGTTTTCGAAGCAATTACATTTTCCATTCAACCCCAGAGCTTCATCCGGAGACATTTGTGTTGTAAAATAAGCCGAAAGGTAGAAACTAAGCTGAAGTCACCTACTAGGCCCCTTCCAACTCTCTCAGTCTGTTCAAGATTGGAAAGGGTGAGCAGCTACAGCGCTAGAGATTTCTGTTCCTGCATTTTGCTACCTTGTAAACCTCTTTTTCTCCATGTCCTCCAATGAAATGTGATGTAAATATTTATGGGGACATGTTGGATTCTGAAAAGGATTCCTCAGACTTTTTTTTGGCAGGAGGGTGGTGGTGGGAAGAATATATTTATTTATTGGGTTATAAAGACCAAAGGGAATTGTATCTTGACTTTCCAATTGCGTTGTCTTTGGTTTATCAGCAAGTCTTAACGGGGATATCTGGGCAGGAACGTGCTTGAGGAGGCGTAAAATTAAGGGGTCTGTGCTTCTCCCAGGAATGTCTTGTCAAGTTAGGGTAGGACTAAGTTGTCTGCGTAGCATCCAAAAGAGATTTTCCAGGCTGGGTGCTTCCGCAGGCGGGCTGCCCACACCGCAAAGGTTTTTGGCGATTTGGACCAGGGACAGGCAGCCAATTTTGCCTCAGTTGGTCCAGGGTCTACTTCTTGATCTTGGCTCAACCTGAGGTGCCTTCTTTGGTTCATGGAAGTGAAGGTGGGAAGGAGAAAGTGTTTCTACGAAGGTAGAGGTGCCACCTGTGCTCCCTGCTGTCCAGTTGAACACCAACACATTGTTAGCTTGAAGAACAGAAGAGGAGAACCGATTTTATATATATATATATATGCTTCCAACTCAGACATTCATGTTTTCCTATCAATAATTAAAACGGATCTCCCAACCGATAGGCTGATCTTTCTTTCTTTCAAAGAATCTATTTTAAAGCTTCAAATCGACTGACACCCAGCTGCAAATAAATAGAACCAATTAATTATTGGGGATGATTTGAAACCAGTTCATTCTTGGGGCTCGTTCGTCAAGAGTCTTTTAACGCCACGTTTACGGGTGGCAGTTGAGAAAGAACTGAGAGGAAAGGGTTTTTAATAACACAGAAAGGAGGGAGACGGGTGTCAGGTTGGCTTAAAACATGGAAGAATTCTACATCCAGAACAATACAGGTGAGTTTCTAGTCACCAGGATGGAGGATAGATGATAGATGGATGGCTCATGAAGGGTGTCTAAAAATGGACCTATGGACACGGTTATTTTGCAGTATCCGCAAGCAACATCTGTCCACTTCTGCCCAAGACTGAGAAGAACATCACTTTCTGTGGAAAACCACACACACACACACCGCATTTTATCACTTGCTGCTTGTGTGTACGCTGAGAGCCCATGCACCGAAGATAAAAATCCTTGTGTATCCAATCACACTTGTCTAATAAAGAATAAAGAGAATCTAGCTTGTTCTTGTTCAGAGGTGGTATTCAGCCAGTTCGGACCAGTTCTGGAGAACCAGTAGCAGAAATTTTGACCAGTTTGGAGAATGGGCTAATACCACCACTGACTGGGCCTGCTCACCTGCCCGCACTAGTTTTTTTAGCTCAGCTGACTGCCGCGCCTCAGCTGAGCTAAAAAAAACAGTTCAGGTGTTCTGACCAAAGCTTCCTAGACCGTACTTACGCACACTCTTATCTTAAAAACAAGTCTTGTTTTATTGCAATGCTGGGAATTATTTTCATTCCCAACCGGAAATGAATCTCAAAGAGCCCCTGGAGATAAGCATCCACCTTTCTTTCCTGTGAAGTGCTGCCAATTGTCCAATGAACTAGGAAAAAAACAACAACCAAAGTACAAATAGCTTCAAGAATGAATCTGAACCGAACGAATGATTTTGCTTCCTCCTGTCTTCTTTGCCTGTCCTTTTATACCTTATGGAAGGGTTAATCACTTCCCAGCCTTACTCCTGAGTTGCGTCTTTTGTTTCAACTGCTCTTGCCTTCCAGCAGCTCTGTGCATACGCACACTAGGAACAGGCTCCCCTGGGTCCTCTGCCTCACTGCTGCCAGACACTGAGACAGCACACAACTCCTAGATGGTCCTGGCCCCATCTCTGCGTTGGACGCAGGACCCTCGTCCAAGTCCTCTCCAGATTTCCAGGTTGATCCCCTTTCTTCCCCACTGTCCCGATTCCGCTGCCGTCTGCATAGACTGCCGGTGAACCACATCAGTCAGCTCAACTAACATTGACTTGAGGTCGGTATTGGAGCCCCGTAAGCGCATGCGAAGCGCATATTAGGCATGCGTGCATATGCTACCAGTAGGGGGAAAAAATTGGAATCCCATCACTGTTCTTGATGTTAGTTTGGCTTAGGGTTTAGAGTAGGGCTGTCCAACCTTGGCCACGCTAAGACTCGTCGACTTGAGCTCCAAAAATTTGTTGAATCTGCCCTTTAAAGTTGGACACTTGGTTTAGGAGGAAATTAAGAAGGCTGCTTAGTTTCCAAAGAATGTCTTTTCCTCACATCCATCCTTTCCTGGAGCATTTTCTCCGCCCCCCCCCCCCAGCCGAAAGAGCCACGCTGCAATCTTGGCTCGCGTGCTTTGCTGAAAAGCAGCCCAGATGTGAGACTCGTCAAAAAGTCTTTATTTCCTCCGTTGACACGTTATACTCAAAACCCCGTTTTCCTTTCTCGGTTACCGTTTACAGGCGCTTCTGGCTGCTATGTTTTCCTTTACCTGTGCCTTATTAAAAACAACAAAGAGGGAAATGTTGGAAAAGAAAAGTTGGAAAAGAAAAAGAAAAGTTGGAAAAGAAAAAGAGGCAGGAGGCTTTCAATTCTTGGGGGAGTTTTTGGGGGGATGGCGGGCCGGCCAAGCGAGAACAGAACAGCAGCCAGAAAGAGTGGCCAATTTTTTTTAAAAAAACCAAATGGAATTGTTTCGGATTTCAAATACCTGCAATTTCACACCTTCCTTGGGTAAGTAGATAAGCTGCAAATGGGTTTGTATAGAAAGCTACAAAGGAATTGTGCAGAAGACTGGTAGAAGATCGAGTTTTAAGAGACACCCCCCCCTCCCAGAACTGGGGGTTATGGAAAAAGACCCCCTCCTGAAGTTACGGAAGCTCTATGCACAGAGACGAAATGCCAGGTGCGTTTAGAGTTGAGGGGGAAAAAGGCAGTGAAGTTACGATTCATTTCCACCTGGGAGTTACCAGTGGATTTGCACGAGAATCCCTGAAAATTCCACACGCCTCGGCCCGTTTTAGGAGGGGTTGTGAGTTCAAAGAGTTGCGGCCTCCTCGTGTTTTGAAAAAAAAGAAAAAGCTTATCTGGCTTGAAATGTTCTGTGCCTAGGCTGAAACCCGGAGCCAACGTTGACAGCTGTTTCTTGCATCTGGTGAGGTTGCGCTAGAATTCCACATTTTTTTCCCAGTGGATTCCAGAGTGCTGACAACCCCTGGGTTATTTATGACCTAAACAGGCAGCAAAGTGTAAGAGGAGTAGTAAGGAGAATGTTGGATTTAAGCATCTGTGTGCTATTAAAAAGAGACATTCGCTCCCTAGTTTTCTTAATCGATGGCAGGGCCCTGCTGAATGGCCCCTGGGGACTCAGTGAGAAAGGGACACCCCTTGTGATGACCGGGGCGTGGCCCAAAAGCGACAAAGTCACAAAAATAGGTCAAGTCCCTTTAATTCCTCCAACTTGGCCCCCAATGTCCAGTTTTCATCGGCTGGAGAAAAAACTCCCAAGAACAGTCTTTAAAGGGAAGAAATTCAGTCCGAACCCGAAGTACATATAAATTATAAATAAAAATCAACACAAACCCCGCTGCAGCAATTAATGAAGGCAGGATAAGGAATTGCAGACTTCAAAAGATGACAAAACACAGTTGGGAGGACGCCAGGACCCAGATATATCTTGATAAATATAATTCAAGCTTTGCTTCGAGCAAGGTTCTGTGCACAAACAGCCTTTTTAAATCCTGTTTTCCCAGCTGCAGCTAATGAAGGGAATCAGGGCCTTTTTCTCCCCCATAACTCATGTTGCTCCCTTATCCGTTCCCATGTGCCCTAGGATGAAGAGAGGGTGGGCCTGGGTCTTCCTCTGAATGTCCAGCCAGACTCTGCCCTTCCCCAGTTTCTTCCACAGCCACCGGAGCCACACTCCCACTCCCGGTCAGCTGCTCAACTTCCCCCTTGGAATCAGATTCCAACAGGAGCACGACAGACCTTGCCTGTCGGAAAGTGTTGTGTGCAAACCCCCCCAAAAGATGCTCAGGACTCCCTTCATAATATCACTCACCCCATCTCCTAACCCAGCAAAGCTACCAAAGGATAAGGGCCCTTTGCCACGTGCTGGCTTGGGCGAACGCCATCCTCTCCAGCCCAGCGTGACCTGGGAAGCTTGCCTGGGCAAGGGGAGACATTGGCGCAAAGGACAGCGGCTCAGAAGAAGGAATCGGAGTTTCAAAGCTGCCAAAAGAGTTTTGGTGCACCTGCCCATTCAGCAAAAGAAAGAAAACAGCTAACGCCCCCCCGCCCGACATTCCCATTCTCACTTTGGAGACACCCCCACCCCCGTTCCCAGCAGCTTTAATCCACACAGGTTGGAAGGGACCTTGGAGATCTTCTAGTCCAGCCCCTAGCTCCCTGCTGCTTTTGAAGGGTCCTTTTCTCTCTGCGTTGCACACGTGGAAAGCTATTCCTGGGTCTGCTGTATTCTACCACCATCACACACACACACACACACACACACACACACACACACAAAAAGTAGGCCAAGATTTAACAGCCACTTGAGACTGCAGTCTTCCAATATTTGAGGGGTTGCCCCAAAGAAGAGTTGAGGGGGGTCAACTTATTCTCCAAAGCACCTGAGGGCAGGATAAGAAACAACAGATGGACACTAACCAAGGAGAGAAGCAACCTGGAATTAAGGAGAAACTTCTTGACCAGTGAGGACAATTAACCAGTGGAACAGCTTGCCACAAGAAGTTGTGAGGGCTTCGTTGTTGGAATTTTTTAAAGATGTGACCGGACAGCCACTTTGTCTGAAATGGTATAGTACAGTGGCGGTATGCTACCGGTTCAGCCGAACCAGTAGTAAAAAGCCTCCGAGGATCAGCTGAGAGGAGAAAAGCGCAGGATTGGCCCTTCCACAAGCCCCTGCGCTTTCCTCTTTATCCTCTCAGCTGATTGGTGCTTCAGGCCTCGGCTGGTGAGGGGGAAGCTGCGCGCGGGCGTTAGGTGCGCACGATAGCACTCGCGATCCCTGAACCAGTAGTGGAACAGGTAGGATCCCATTGCTGGTACAGTATCTCCTTGTGATGTCTGAAAAATAACACTCAAAACTAAAACATGAATCAAGGTCTTGTAAGGCCTCCAACTTAACTTCGCTGTTTTATTAATCGCGGTTTAAATTCAAAAAAGTAGATAATGAAGCAAAAGGAAACCCAAAACAAATCGCATTGACGCGAGTCCCAAGGCAAACCAAGATAATTAACTCGCACCTTCCAGGAAGATAACCAGGGAAGAGCCCATGGGAAGAACGCCAACAAAGATAAACCTCATCCAAAGAAAGCACTACTTTGACTCCGGCGTCTGTGAATGCGCAGCTCCAAACTCTTATACAGAGATCACAGCTGCAGCCCATGAAGGGGATCAAGGCCCTTTCCTCCCCCGTAGACCATGCCATTGACGTTTCTCCCTTATCCTCTCCTCCCTGCGTGCCCTAGGATGGAGAGGGGATGGGCCTGGATTCTCCTCTGACTGCTCAGCCGGCCTCTGCCCTTCCCCAGCCTCCTCCACCACCTCCGGAGCCACACTTCCACTCCCTGTTGTCTGTTCCTCCTCTTCCTCAGAGTCAGAGTCTCCACCGAGGGCATGACACGCCTGCTTGGAGCAGGGGGCTGGACTAGAAGACCTCCAAGGTCCCTTCCAGCTCTATTCTGATTGAACGAGTCTGTCTCTCCCAGTCTGTCCCCTCTGACAACAGCTGCGGTGGGTGTGCTGGGAGCGTGTGTGTGTCTCATGGGGAAGCCAAGCACATGGGTACCATCTTCTCTGCATGTAGATCTGACCCCCAGCATCTGCAGTGGGGCAGGTGCTCCCCAAAGCTGTCAACCCCTCCTCCCGGGAGTGCAGGGAGGCTGATCAAGCGAAATAAAGACCACCAGAGGTATGAATAACCGTTTTACTAAGTTTATAGGTCAATCCAAAATGCTACACGCAACTATTCTACCACAAGGTCCACACGTTTTTATTTTTGCTTTATTATCAATGGAGTTACAGTAATATTGTAAAGGTTGGCTTTGTTTTTTGTTTTTTTTGTCCTCGTTATTATTAAACAAGAAAGATACTCATGTATACAGTTTAAAGGGAGAGAAATCGTGAGCGCTCGGGGGAGGGGGAGATGGCTTCACCTCTTGATCTCAGTTTGCGTCAAGCTAGCGTTAGATCGGGTCAAAGAGGAGGAGGAGGAGGAGAAAAGGAAGAGCTTGGGAATAAAAATTATCTTTATATACAAACAGTGCCTCGGAGGGGTTAACCGGCCTACACTCACACACACTGCACACGGTTAAGTTCATCTGCGGATTTAAAAACAAAACAACCCAGCTACTTCAGCATTGGATAAATCGGTATAAATAAAAAGGTGCCAACAAAAGAAGAAGAAGAAGAAAAAAAAAAGGATAACAAATTCATTCTTCAGCTTTCCTGGTGCGAGGTTTGGACGCTGCAACCCTTGGCAGCTTTTCAAGACTTGTTCAATTCAACTCCCAGAATTCCTCAGCCAAGGATTAATTCTCTGGGAGTTGCAAGTCCACAAGTCTTTCAAGCAACGGTTGCCAAGGATGGAGAGCCCTGCTCTACGGCCCTTCGAAGCCTTAAAAGTAGCGTTATCACCTACTTGTGTGTAGTTACAAAAATTGGGGAGTGTTTGATGGGGAAGGGGGGGAACGTGAAGCCTGGCCCTCAAGGAGTCAGGGCAGAAGGTGAGTTTAGCAGCAGCAGCAACAGTGGTCAAAAATGAAGCTCCCCTTGTTTCCCAGGCTGTTTGTATCTCGCTCCTACCTGTTTTCTGCAGGCAGGAAAAAAACTCATCCCCCCCCCAAAAAAAAAACGGAGATAAAAGCAAAATGGAGGTCAATGATTCTCGTGTCAAGAGCCGAGCAACCATTTTGGAGTGGATGCACCGGGAGGCCCCAAATCCGAAGCGGCAAAGGAGAGGCGGCTTTCCGCCTTCCTCGACTTTTCTCGGGAGCGAAGCGGAGCCCGGAGGAAGCTTGAGGAAGGCGGGCGGGCGGGCGGGTTGTAAGCTCACGCAACACGAGCCGCGCACCCGCCTATGTATAAAACGGACCCTGATGAAACGGAGTCGTCGAATCTCAGCTTGCGTTCAGGAGCAGGAGGTCTTCCCCGGGGTGTGGTGGGGGAAGGAGGAGGCCGGGGGGAAGCGGTTGCCTTAGGACAGCCCCCCAATCCCGCTGAGTTGCATAGAAGTTATTTCATGATGGAGAACTAAGCGCTGGACAGATGAGAAAGAGACCAGGTTTGGGGGTGGTGGGGGCAGGACTGGACACGCACACACACACACACACACACACACACATTGGGGAGCGGGGCGCGTGAGTCCCGTTTCTGAAAAGTTAAACCATGCAAGCCCCCTACTTGGAAGGAGCGGGGAAAACCTTCCGCTTCCTCTCTCTCTCTCGCGCGCGCATGCCCGCGCTCTCGGGCGAGAAGAGTTGCGACTTTTTTTGTCAAAAGAACGCTGGAGGGTTGGCGGTTTTGGTTTCCCATTTCTTCCTCTCGAATGGAGCCTTTTTAAAAAGTTGGAACTGTAAAAAACAAAAATAAAACCGAAGGGGGCTGGGGGGTGGGGGGGAAGCACTCGCTTGTAAACTCGGTTAGGTGAGAAGAAGGCGGTCAATTCTTCGTACCTAGCGCCTCCAAACGGACTGCGGAATGGAGCAGACCACCGTTTTTCTCTGGAAAAAGAAAGGGGGGGGGGGACAAGCCCCCGCCTACAGCTACACCACCCCCCTCCCCCCCCCCCCGGTTAAATAATCAGTAGTATGAAGATCCCTCATCGCGTTATAAGCCGCGTGTCCGGCTTGGGTGTCCGGCCTGTGGGGGGTGGGGGAGAGAGAAAAAAAAACCCGCCGCCGTGCGGTGTGTTTCGGGAGTCCTATGTACATCTGGTCCTCTCTTGCCCGCGGTCGGTCGGCCAAGACAAGCTCTGGAAGGCAGAAGGTATATCGGGAGGCCCCGGGAGCCCTCCGAGGTTGCTACCCGGCTTCTTCAGCACGTCTCTTTCCCTTGGACGCCGGTCACTGTCTTTATAGAGCTCAGCGTTCGGTTGAACCAGGTTTTGCGCGAGGCCTGCACCTCGTTCAGCGCCTGTCCCAGGTCGTGTTCCAGGTCCTGCAAAGGGGAACAAGGCGGGATGAGCATGGGGGAAAGGAGGCGTGTCAACTAAAAAAAAAACACCCCTTTGGTCTTTTTAGTTGTCAGCAGAAAGGGAGGTGGGGAAAGCAGCGCATTCCTTGAATGCTTCAGATAATCGCCTGGGCAGCCGAAGCTGTTGGCACGCAAGATTATTACTGGAGAGCATGTCAACTCCTAATAAATCCATCTTTTTTTACTGTGAGACGCAGCTAGAGACTTGTGATTTGAAAAGGGGTGCATGTCGGAGTCCTGACAGCGCGTGTGAGAACGCCTGACCTGGCCTAGGTCAGGAAACGGATCCACCAAGGTCAATCTGAACAGCCACTTCCTCAGTTAGGAGAGCAGAGCTGCAGGCTTCCAAATCACCAGTTCACTCAGGGAATTTATTTACTGTAGTTTTCGCTCCGCTAAGATGCACATTTCCCCCACCTCCTTCCCCCCAAAAAGTGGGTGGAAAGCTCTGTGCATCTTATGGAGCGAAAAATACAGGCTGCGGCAGTGCGGTCCTTTTATAGGGCTCTTCTGTCTTTGCCATTGTTGTGGTTCGCCGGCAGCCAGTGCAGACGGCAGTGGTATCGGACAGTGAGGACGAAAGAGAACCGGTCTGGGAGTCCGGGGAGGACTCGGACGAGGGTCCTGCGTCCAATGTTGAGACGGGGCCAAGACCACCTGGGAATTGGGTGCTGCCTTCAGAGCCTCTGGATTCTGGCAGCAGGGAGGCCGAGGAACGAGGGGGGCCTGTTCCCAGTGCGCGCTTGCTCAGAGCTGCCAGAAGGTGAGAGCAGCTGAGACAAAAGGGGTGACTCGGGAGCAAGGCTGGGAGGTGATTGCCCCTCCCATAAGGGATAAAAGCCAGCCCTTGGGGATGTGTTCTTTGCAGGATGGGTGACTCAGGAGTAAGGCTGGAAGGTGATGGCCCCTCCCATAAGGGATAAAAGCCAGCCCTCAGGGATGTGTTCTTTGCAGGAAGCAAAGAAGTTCTTTAGACTCAGGAGTTCTCATTGAAGCCCTGCTTATTCCGGTTTGTTTTTGAAACTTCTGTTGGTCTTCTGTTCTTGGCAGCCTTTTGCAACCTTGAAAGGGCTTGCTTTTGATATCAGACAATTAGGTTTACAATTAGGTCTCTCGGCTGGGAATGCACAGAATTCCCAGGCGCCGCATTAAAAAAGGTTTCCTTTTATACACAATTTGGGTCTAAAACAAGGCTTGGGTCAGAACAAGAGCCGTGACCCTTGACTACCTACAATCCCCACGGGGGCAAGAAGCTCCGGCCAAGCGTGGCGCCAGCTGCTCTCCTCACCTGGATTTTGCATTCGGCTTCCACCAGTTGCAACTTGGTCTGGGCCAGTTCCAGCTCCATTTCTCGTAACTGGTTCTTCAGCACCTCCTTCTCCTCGTCGGTGTCTTCGTCGGAGCCTTCCCGGGCGATGCTGGCCACCTTCAACCGCCCTTCTTTGTTGAAAAACTCCCGGCAGTGTTCGCAGTCGTCGACTTTATGCTACGGACAACAAGGGCGGACGGTGAGGGTCTGACCTCCTCTCAGACAGGCGGGCTGCTTTGGTGACAAGCCTGGGTGGCCGGCAAGAGCTGAAAGGGCTTCAAACTTGCTTGGCACCACACCCCATCACACACACATGCACACACACACACACACACAAACTGCAAGGCTTGAAGGCAGCAAGTTGAATATTTGAGGTCTGTCTCTCTGCATCCTGAAATCCCCCACTTTCCTTTAGCGAAGCAGTATTGTGGCCCGCCAGCTACCAGTAGTAGCTGGCGGCAGAATCAAACAATGAGGAGGTTGGGGAGGAATGTGGACCAGTTCTGGAGTCTGGGGAAGGTTCTGATGGATGCTCTGCATCAGACCGCAGAGAAAGAGCCAGGGCAGTCCAACATTTCCCAGCTACCAGAAGAAGCAGCTGCCTTCAGAGGGGCTGAGATAAGTGGGGAGGAAGAACAGCCGGGGCCTGTTCCAGACACGCGTATGTGCAGAGCTGTCAGAGGACAAGGGGTCGACTCAGGAAGTAAAGCTGAATGGCCCCTTCCTAGCTGGGGAATAAATAAAAAGGAAAAGGGGAGTGGTGATCGTAAGAGACAACAGTTGGAAGATTCGACTGCTTGCCAGAATTTAATTTACAGCTTTGCAGCTGGAAGCTCTGGGCCCGACAATTATCCCAAGGAACTGATAAGGTCTGTGCTGCAGTTCACCCTTGGAAGGATGATTGCCTGGACTTGTCGGTGTGTGAATGCCATGAATTCATAGCAGCTTAATAAAGAAGGGTTGTTTTTCGGGAGCAGGAGTCTGTTTATTGGCTGGATCAGAACAAGCAGGGACCCAGACAAACGGGATGTTGAAAAGAGTTCGGGAGATGTTCTGGAATCTGCCCCCGAGGCAGGGAATTGGGAAGACTGCCCTCCAGGTGATGCCAAGTCGCCCAGGGTCCTCGGTGCCTCTACTTACCCGGATTTTCTCAATTTCAGCTTTGTTGGCTATCTGCTGCTTCTCCAGCCTCTCGCTCAGTTGGGAGCAGATCTGCAAGGCAAACCGGAGCGGTCAGCAAGAGCCTCGCAGGCCCAAGAAGGGCCTTTCATCCCTCGCCCAGATCCCCATGCCGGCCCTTTGTCCTTGTTGGACACCAAAATCTCTCTTGGTTTCTATGCTCTCGTCGAGCGACTGCACCCTGCTGTTCCTTCCCTTGGCCCAAACCTTCTGACTCTCTCTTGCTTTACCCTATAATCTGAGAAAACTGGGTTTCTCCTCCTAACAGAGGGTGGAGCTTGTTATTTATTTATTTATTCATTTACTTACTTACTTAATTTATTTTGTTCAGTGATGCTCCATCCTAGAGGCTTTTAAGAAGATATTGGGCAGCCGTTTTGTCCGGAATGGGATAGGATCTCTTGCCTGAGCGGTTTTTTTTTTCTTTTAGATTGGATTAGATGTGATTAACAGAGTTGGAAGGGACCTTGTAGGTCATCTAGTCCAACCCCCCCGCCCAAGCAAGAGACCCTACACCATTTCTGACAGATGGCCGTCCAGTCTCTTCTTGGAAGCTTCCAGGGATGAAGCTCCCACAACTTCCGAAGGCAGCTTCTGTTCCATGGATTGATTGTTCTCTCTGTCAGAAAATTCCTCCTTATTTCCAGGTTGAATCTCTCCTTGTTCAGTTTCCATCCATTATTCCTTCTCTGGCCTTCAGGTGCTTTGGAAAATAGCTTGACACCCCCACCCCCCCTTCCTCCTCTCTGTGGCAGCCCCTCAAATATTGGAAGATGCTCTCCTGTCTCCCCTGGCCCTTCTCTTCTGGATGCTAGGTGTGATCTTACTAAAGCTTTATAGAGTGGTATTAGTACCTCCCTTGATCATGTCTCCCCTGGTCCTTCTCTTCCCTAGACCAGCCAGGCCCAGTTCCTGCAACCGTTCATTGTATGTTTGAGCCTCCAGTCCCCTCATCATCCTGGTTGCTCTTCTCTGCCCTCTTTCTAGAGTCTCAACCTCTTGTTTATAGTGTGGTGCCCAAAACTGGAGGCAGGACTCTAGGTGTAGCCTTACTAAGGGTTTATTTCTAGTGTGACCAAAACTGGAGGCAGGACTCTAAGTGTGGCCTTACTAAGCCTTTGTAGAGTGGTATTAGTCTCTCCTGTGATCTTGATTGTATCCCTCTGTTAATGCAATTTAGGATTGCATTGGGTTTTTTGGCTGCTGCCGCACACGGCTGAACTAGAAGACCTCCAAGGTCACTTCCAGTTTTGTTATTTGGAGGGCAACCCTCTCCTGCTTCCCTCTTCGAGATGAAATAATGACTCCCCGATGGTTTTTGTGTGAAAAGGAGGCCGGCACGGAGTTGTCCTGGCCCAAGGGAGCCCGATCCCAGAGTTACTTCGGAGCAGCCTGCCTCCTGCCTACCTGCTTGTAGTCTCCAATGATCGAGCTGTTTTTCTTAATCTCGGACTCGGCCTTGTCCAGTTCCCTCCGGCACATCTCCTTCAGCTTCAAGAGAAGACAGAAAGGCTGGTCTGTTCATTCCTCCCTCCACCGGGGTGTCTCTGAGCTCACCCTCTTTCCTCTCTCTTTTTGGGGGGACAGAAGTCAGGAGAGGAGGCAGCAGAGAGAGGCCGCTCCTGTCCACCTGGAGAGCTTGGGGTAAGAAGATAACCTCCTGGGACACTGCTGGTCTCTTTCTCGTGGGGATGGGGGGATGTGGTTGTGGGAATGAATAGCTACAGGGAACCAGACCAGACCAGAGATGATGGTGAAGAGCATTAAAAACAATGAACAAGGTACAATCCTCCTAGCCGGCGTAGTTGTCTTGCGTGGCTAAGTCACATATAACAAATAGTACTTATTTACATTCTATATATGTAATCCTTTCTTATTGTCTTGATCCTTTCTCTTTTCTAACCAACCATAAAACCTGCCCCATATTTTGTAATAATCCGATTCATCCTTATTTTTTTTAAATTCTTTTGTCAATTTGTCCCTTGCTGCGCACATCCAGATTTTCCTAATTATTTCCGTTTCACTTGGAGTTTCTTTACATTTCCGCTGTTGTGAAGAAGCCAATCTCTTTTTTTTGTGTTTGTCTAATAAAATTTAAAATAAAAAATAAAATAAAAATAAAAAGAGATGACGGTGAAGGAAAAAAAAAACCAAGACAACCGATTATTCTTGGTGCGTCTTTCCTCAGCTGGGGTGGTTATTGGATGTTGGACCTACAGGTGCTTTTTTTTCCCAGGGGCAACTGGACTTTCTTGTTTTTCTTTGAAGATGTTTCGCTTCTCATCCAAGAAGTTTCTTCAGCTCTGACCGGATGGTGGGGAAGGGAAGGATTTATACTCCTTGCAAACAGCTGGTCATTTGCATCCTTTTA